GTCCAGTAGACTGCGTCTCCACTTTCTTCACATTGAGATGAAGTCGATCTGATTTAAGTGTGTCGTGGTGTCTGGTGAGATCGAATCCATGTCACTTTGTGAATATCCTTGTGTTTGTACGCACTGCTTCCAACCACCAAATCGTTGAATGCGCAGAAGTCTTCAAACAGTTCTCCATTCTCATTCATTTCAGCGAGTGCCTCTGGACCCATGGTTAGTTCTCTTCCTGTGTTGTCTGCTCCAGGTTTGGCACTCATGTCATCCATTAGAATTTTGATGTCTCCAAATGGAGTCTTATGCATTACTGATTGCAGTTGTCTGTATAATTCCTCCTTCTTCTCTTCCCTTCATCTGCATTGCTTGTAGGTGCGTAGTGTAGCATTGTATGGTTGTGACTTTCCTTCCTTTTGAGTTGAATCTGGCTGTCATGATCCTGGAGGAGATTGGTTCCCACTTCGCGAGAGAGAACCTTTGATGCTGTTGAGGACACCATGATAGCTACTGCAACAATGAGTGTGTTCGTGGTTGTCATCTGGGTGACAATATTGGAGTAGATTATTGACTCTCAAGTTGACAGTTTGTAGAGTCCACTTGCATTCCATCTACTTTCGCAGATTCCCAGCCTGGCACTTCAGTGTGATACCTTCTCACATCTTTCACAATCTGGGGAGCCTTGCCAGTCGGCTTCAAACGTTGTGCAGACATTCTACGTCCCCATGTTTACATCGGTTTTCATCTAGAGAAGAGAAGACATACCGGCTAATTGGCTTCGCTAAGGCTTTCACCAATCGGTGTGATTTTGTCTCTTCGATTCCAGCGAGGAATAAGTTTGTTTTTATCTGATATATTTTTTTGTGCTTTGGAGTTTGTTTGGTGGTTAGATTGGTTTTCTGGGGTGGGGTTGCTAGCCGTATGCCCAACCTTTCCTGTTTATCCGGGCTTCGGACCGGCCTGTAACTGGCGGACTGGTAAACTAGGCACGGCTGACGCCAGCTTTACGGAAGAGTTAAGTTATCCAGAGCTTGAATTGCTGCTTTCGCGGGAATGTTGGAGAACTTGAAGCCAAATAAAGCCATAGAAATCGATGGCAATCACACAATAGCACTCAATGAGTGTGCTGATTTTCTGAGTGCCCCAGCAGGAAAACTTTTCGGATGCGCGATTCCGGAAGTCAGGTTTTCCTCTTATTGGAAATGGATGGCCGTCGTCCCGGTGTATAAGGGTAGAAACAAATCGCTTGCCTCCAAGCAGACTCTCATCTCCCTGGTCGCCATGGAGAGAGCGATAAATGACTGATTTCGCGCTCATCTATGAAGTTAATCTTTGATGACTCCAGACCGATCTTCAGCAGTTAGAACTCAGGCACTCAGGAAACGGCTGTACCCTCAACCCGTTAAGGTGCAAGCTAATGCATGTCGGTGCCTACGGAGCAAGGACAGAAACGGTTGAATGCAAGCTGACCTACCGTGATATCATCGGTTTTCACGGAGAAGGACGTAGGGGTTCAACACCTTTGACACCTTGGAGATCAGCTCCAAATACAAAGAAGTATGAAACAGAGCGAACCTAACGCTACGCTTTTTACCCAGGCAGCTCGGTGGTGTCATTCCTGAAATGTTGTTAATCGTTTCCAGATGCTACGTACGGCCGCCTCTGGGGGTCTTTGATATGGCAGCAGTCCGAACACTCAAGGGGGGTTACAATCTCCCCGAGGAAATACAAAGATCTGCGACAGATCCGGCTGTGGAAATGATTGGGAAGACACACTGGTGGACTAAGAGACCTACCCATTCTAGGCTACCGCAGAGAGAGGGGGGTTGCCAGATCATCCATGAGGTAGGCCACACGAATAGGCCAAACCTACCCGTCAACGTAACCCACCTACAACGTAAGGTAACCTAGGGCTTCAAGTTCGTAGCAGCTGGTTAACCGAGTTGCACAGCTTGGTTGCTCCTGCATCCTGGCTCTCGGGCTTATCTCAGACCGAACATGCGTTGGAGATGGGATTACTAGAGATCTTCACTATTTTATCTACTGAAGTGCTGGTTGCACCCGGAACATAAATGAAAGTCTTTAATACCACGAAAAGGTTTAGTAAAAACGGGAAACACTCATATGTAAACGCGTTGAACGCAAATTTTGTGCATATTTCCATTTTTTAAGTATGATTAAATGGCAGTAAAACAATTGGTACCAAAAAGGTAAAATATGGGAGAACCTTTGTAACTACCAGTTGTTGACAGGTTTTCGTCTAGTCTGTAGATGGGTATGTTGTTGCAAGGAGTGTGCAGAGCAGTGTGAGTTCGGCGGTGGCCATAGGAATCTGGAATGGAAAAAAGGAAGAGAAGAAAGGTGAGCCAACGACTCAGCAAGTACATAGGATGTACTTGCACTTAATAATAAAAGATAACTGAAAAACGATAGAGCTGGAAAACGAAGAGGTGGGTGAGTCTGGAAATTGAAACTCTAAGGTGAACGAGTAAGATTTCGAATGCTCTACGCTTTTGCATTCCCGGTATATAAGAAAAATATTGCCTAGAAAACAATCGAACTCAAAAGTGAATGGCACATTTTAAGTCAAAATACTTGATTGAATCTGTCTTTATATAGTCCGGGAACGTGATGGTTTTACCCGACTGTGTGTTTTGCCTTGCCGGTGGTCGTTGTAACTCTGCATTAAGGGGCACATCGTCGGAAATTTCGATATCTGGGCTGCCATTTTGTAAACCACATCTTTTGGTTATGTACAAGGACTGTCCGAGGGCTTGATAATGCCCAGTTCGGGCATGTGGTCTAATTCTCTCTTCGCCGTTTTTAGCTTGTTAGGGGATAGACGCCGTGCTTTGGGTGCCATGGGTGGATTCGTGGTCTTGACGTGATGCATAACACTGCTGGTTATGTACGAAAGAGTATGCTTCGGTCGTTGCATCCCTGGATATTTCTCCAACAGCATCTGGTAGGACGCGTCGCCTGACTGTCTGGTCCTAACGATGGCTAAACTCGGACCTACGTAGGTACTGCCAGCAATAGATAACTTTGTGTTGTTATCTATCAGTCGTCGACGGCGAGCATCTACGAGTAGATCGTAAGGGTTTACAAAATCTATCCCAATGATGGGCACAGAAACATCAACCAGGAGGAAAATCCAGTTAATAAGTTTACGTGAACCTAAGTTGAGGTAGGCATACTGTCTCCCAAGCGTCGAGACTGCCTTGCCGTTGGCTGCTTGGAGATTGAAGGATGGGTCAAGATGACGCTCTTTTATCGGTGCGGGAAGAACGCTAACATCTACGCCGGTATCGGCGAGGTAGCGAACTTTCGCCTTTATATCGGTGACGTGGAGCGAATGGCTATTTCCGCAGGCTACGGTTGCCGTGAACACTTGCCGGCGTGGCTGTTTCCCGAGTTTGTGTCCTTGTTAAAACTGCACGACTTCCAGCATTTTCTGGCTTCATCTCCGTAAGTACTATGAAACCAGCACCATTTAGGGTTTTCCGCCCTGTTAGGTTTAGTTTTTGGACAACCACACGAGTTGCTGCGATGTGCTAAAGTGCATTTCTGTGAAATGCTACGTAACCTAGGACTTCGAGATCGTAGCAACTGTCTGACAAAGTTGCACAGCTTGGTCACCTCTGAATCCTGACTCCGGTTTGTTGCAGACAGAATATACGTTGGAGACGGGTCTGCTAGAGATCTCCAATATTTTATCTCCTGAGGCTGTCAGGTCATCGAGTGGGACTGACTGCAGTGTCACTAACACGGTTTGCACCGGTTGTGGTAGTTTCGAGAGAAATAGTTCTCAGAAAAGGCCATCGTCGAATGTACATGCACCCATAACTTCTCGCATGCGTGCGAGGACTTCAGTAGCTGAGTGGCTGCCTAGCTCGATGTAACGAGGTAATTCTTGTATGCGCTGGCGATCTGTGAGATCGCTTTTCTTCTAGAGTGTGGCTTTGAGAAGTGCATAAGGATCACTTACTTCAGGACTAAACATGTGTGCTGCAACATGTCTGTTCAATTCCCACGGTAAAGAACGTATGGCGGCAAGAAATTGAGAATTAGGATCTGCGACTCCCTGTCCTCGAAACTCTGCTTCGGCATACAGAAACCATGTTTCTGCATTGTCTGGCCAATATGGCACGAGTTGGATCGTGTTCGTAGTCGGCCTAATAAGAATAAGCTTGGGAGTATGGTCGGACATCAGAAAGAGTTGTACGTGGATATGAAATGGTTATCAAAATGAAAGTAATACACAAATATAAAATGGAACAGGCTCACCAATTTAGGAATCGTCCTGGCGAGAAATTGACAGACGCAAAGGCCAATCACTAGCCATTCGAACTTGTTATGTACCCACGGGTATGAGATCAATGAAGAACACGATAACGCAGTCGGATGGAATAGTATATTTGGGTGGTTGTGCCAAGATACCGATGCGTTTTAACTAACTGACTAGAGAGTCTATTACTAGCAGTGCAACGTAACACAAAAGCGTGCTAAATGGCCAGGATGCTTGACCGGGTGCCTTCAGCCTAGCGAGCCCAGTTAAACTATCAAGGTCAGCATCAGTGTTCAATGTCGTTGGACCCTAGGCTATTGATTTTGGGGAAGTGTGTGACGCTACATGTGTATTGCATGGGAGAGCATGAACAAAAACTGTACCAACTCACTTATTATCAGGATTTGTAAAACGGGACTCTCTTCCGAAGGAGGTTGTTGCAGTCCCATATCCTGATGCTTTCATAAAGAGGTTGGATACACACTTAGAGTCTTGTTGTACCGAAGGGCTGTACTCGAGCTCTGCAGCATCTACAGATCACGAGAAGCAGATTGATTAAGATCAAGTATTTCTGTCACTTTAGGTTTTTCGGAATCAGGAAGACAACTATGACGATTCCAAACAAAGAACGTATTCCAATGAGGAACCATCGTTCACTAATTCTACAACATGAATTTTGAAGTTTTGATTTCTCTATCTGCGTTTCAAATATCGCGTTACAATGATTGGTTCTACTGTCTGTAGACTGCTCCCACGGGGACATCTTTTGTGTGGAAACTCAAGATATTTTGCCAGTAGGAATTCCTATCTGCCCTATTCCGAATATCATCCGGATATCAATCTGCTAGTGTCAGGGGAACTCGGGGAGTTAGAATTCCCTGCCGACAAAAGACGTTTACCTCCTGTCAACCGACAACCTGTGTTACCGCCTGCTTCTAAACCCGTTAAGTATACAAGACAAAAAAATGACTATCGTGGACCAGAAGTTTTACTAAACAAACTTATTTACCGTCAGTATGGAATACAGGTGAGTTCATTGTACCAAGATTATTCATGTATGTTGACTACAGTCAACATTTACACGGTCAGATGTTAAACCACTAGTTCATACTATGGCTTCGCATCATTGATCTGAAATCTGCCTAAACTTTCCTGTACTTTGCCTGTAGTTCATCTTTTCTAGTTGTCTAACCGGAATTTTATTCCATGCCACTTCCAATATTCCACCTCTGTTGGTGAAGATCCATAACTCATAAAGCGATCCTTTAGTTCCTTAGAAAATTTATATTTGTGTCAGATAAGCCAAAGAACCAGCACGGAAGTCATATTTCCTAAAAACTATGAGATATTGTCGTGGTATTGGCTTTTCATAACAAAAGCATTTTCCCCTTTAGAAGTTGGTGGGCAGTTACTATATTTTAAATTAGCTTTCTCTGCCAATGGACATAGGTTAAGGAACCATTGCAAACCAAACCCCTCCCCCTCATTATTATCTGTAGCGTACAACAGTAACAATGTCTGAGTAAACCATCCGTTTCAGTAATTATTTTACAAATTTTTTGAAAAGTATCAGGACTTAACTACTTTTCGAAAACTCCTCAAAGGTGTATTTTTCCGATTTATGTGTATTTTCCCGCCTTGCCGTCAAATAAAAATTTGAGTCACCTGACTGGACGAATCTAGGTACATATTTTCGTATGAACGTGCAATAACTTCTGATTGGTCTAGCAATGACTAAGAAACTGTCCTGGGTTAAGAAAGTTATGAAGTTTTTCCAACCGCCTAGAAGGTTTCAGAAGTTTTTCAATTGCTAGAAGGTCTTAAGTGTGTTTAATAGAATAACTAGCGTCGTGCTCTAGATGATAGACCTCTTGGTATGTCATCAAATTTACATTAAATGACACCAACACAGGAAAATTCGAATATAATTTGGTGTTCCTTTGGTCATTCAAAGCACATTGTTTAGGTGAGTGGAAAATAAATAAATAAATAAACACATGAAAACAACCAGTAACCTTGTAGTTATATAGTGGGTTTGCTTATTGGATGACTTAACTATAAAGCTGCTAGTTAACATTTAGTGTGTGGATATACCCGTATTTATTTCTCCTTTATCACTGAACTTTTTGTGAAGCCTGAAAGATTTAATTTTTGATATCGGGTTCATTAATTCGTCATAATACTCATCTGTGTGCTGTAAAAGTATTGGGGTGGCTAAGACAAGTCTGAGCATCTCCTGACTCCTGTTTTTTGGTGGTATGCTACTATTTTAAGTCAGTGGTTGAATTTGCCTATCTCAGTAACAGTTGAGCATCACTGTCTAATATACTTGTCCCTGAGGTTACATCATTACAAGAGTTTTCCAAGAAATACTAAAAGCAAACAGCTGCTGCTGTAATATGAACAGCTATACTCAGAGTAGAAACAACTTAACTGTCGAATATGAGTAGGGATTATGAACAGTGATAAATAGTGAATAGGAGCGACAAGAAATGTAGACGTGATGAGTTTTTAAACGTATAAAGGAATTGTATTGAGGAAGCAGAGGTTAGTGAGATTGTTTGTAGAGCAAACGATTCTGCAACTACTCATTGTCAGTGACCGAAACAACAGGCAGGGGACTTAAGGACAGTTAAGCTGTCTTGCAACTATTGTCTGACTGCTATGGCAGTAACATCTACGCTTCAACTTTTGACGTCGTTGAGTGTCAAAACCCATCTGATGAACTAGAAACCTTTGAAAATTCCAACATGTGATTATTTGTTTGACTGACTGACTGGGATGTTATTGGGTGATTCTTTCAGATCAGTCTTGATCGGTGAACATTCTTGTTTACAAGTAAAGATTGATATTCTCTTGTGATAAACTCAGGAATTAATTTAGTCAACATAGTTGTTCAGATTCTACAATCCATAATCATTATATGCCTAACTGGACTCCTCTTCTAATTTTTCTATTCGTGTTGTTTTTCTTTCATCCGCTTCCCTTCGCTGTATATCTTCACAATGTGATTGTTATATTATTTTGTGTGGCGCATTTCTAGAGACCCTTGCTATACCATGTTTGTGTTCTAATAATAATAAATAATAGTAATGAACTCAGGAAGCGTGAACCCAGATAATACGGTTTGGGGTACACCATTTGCATCTTAACCTGTCTCCAGGTGCTGGGATAAAAATGCTTATCAGGATTTAACCCAAGCTGCACTATGTAGCACAAAGGTACTTGACTGTTGGTCAATACATCTTTTGGCTATCATTAAAAAAACTGCGTAGCGAGTACATTATACTGTTGAAAGCTGCTAACGTTGCAGCTTCCACTGAGTTTGCCTATCATGATAAATAGTGTCCGCTAAGAACACTAACTTTGTTTTGTTCCACTTCTCATTCGACTGATGAATTAGTCGTTTACACTTAGTGTTCTCAGTAGATAGATAGGCAGTATACGAAAAGAAGCTGTAGTAAGAAAAAATTGACAAACCTCTTCTTGATACAACTTCAAAGTGAGGATATTTAAAATGCGTTCTACACTTGAACTTTAATTTGTGGAAAGGTATAAAGAATTTTAAAGAGACATTCCTTCCAGTTACTTTATTTCTACCGAGCTTCCTAGTATGACAGCAAATAGATAACTGTTTTTAGGGATATAGTGGATTAGCGTGATTTGTTTTAATGATAAACGTAATGCAGATACCAGCATGTCACGTAGAGCACTTTATCCGAGTTGATGGATGGAGAACGTAGTTAAAAGTAATTAAATGAGACCTAACGTACTTGTTGGTCGTTGGTGAAATATAGCTTCAAGCAAAGATTTTTTTGTCTTACACATAAGCGACCTATGAGGCCAGTCATTTACTGAAATTTGAGGGCAAACATAGGGAATATTTGTAGAGCCTTGTAAATTAACGAACTGATTCGTGTTTGATATATGTGACTAATATTTCTCCCATTTCGAAGCTTTAGCTCAGATCGTTTTAATATTTAACATTAGAAGGTAGGTTATCGTTCATAGGTTTCCTAACCCCGATTTTGTGTTGGTTGAATAACTTAGATTGGTATACGTCTGGTCTTTGCCGATTAAAGATAACATGTTAGTTTACGTTACCTTATAAATCGATACATCGGGTATTTTTATGAGTTCGAGTTTCAGTTTCTGCTAACCAAGGAGAATAATTGATGCTGCAAAAACTATGATAATTGTTTCACTCATTGACTGACTGCTGACCAAATCAACGTAGAACCTCAAACACATGTGTATCGGCTCCATTTGCTACACTTCACTGTTATACACCAAGAACAGGTGGACAGAAAAAGAGTAATATCAAGGGAGATAAAATATTGTGAGAGAGTAAACAATGTGAAGATAATAGTTAATGTGAGTATTCAAGCTTTAGAAGACGTCAAAAAGCGAATATATCTGCACCATTGTCACCGATTTTCAGCCATGTCATCAAGAGTCCTCAACCACTGATACCTTCCGTCTCTGGGACCCCAACTAAGTAGTCTACATCTCCCCACACGACTCAGAACCACAGTCACATTTTCGTATGGCCACTTTGAACCCTCTCCTAACCTAATCCAACTTCCCCTAGCATGGCGCATGGAGTTAGATGGCGTTCCATTTGAGAGTGCAGTTTTCGAAACAGCTCTTAATCAGCATGTGAAGTAATCTGTTAAATAATAAAGTGAAATCTAACTTACGTTTTTCTAATCTAAGTCACTAGTTAGAATTCTTTGTTGGCACTCAATTTTATTTATTCTTTTACTCCATACAATGGTTCTGTAGAATATAAATGAGTGATTGAAGCAATTAAAAATTGAGTTTTTTTCACGTTTTAGAAGGCATTCCGATTCTTATTACATATCACTCATTTTTATCTAGGCGATGGAAGGTGGTGATCTAGAATTCGGTCATTTTGAAATGATGCGAACGTCGATAAATAAAGCTTTGGATGATAAAAGAATGTTTGCTGTTTGGGGAGTTGAAGCCCCATGGAAGCCTATAACACGTCGACCTCAAGGAAAAAGGAAGGGTGGTGGTAAAGGTATGTCCACTTAGCATTTGTTCAGTTATTTTTAAAAACGCAATGTTTTCTCACCATTAAGTCACTTTTATTTTTACCCACTTCAAATAAGTATTCAGCAAGTGTCCATTCACCAGTTACACAAAATTGACGCACATTATAGCGAAATAATACGTCTGGTTCCAGTCACTGTTTCTGAAGTAGTACAGTGGAGGCAAGTCTATAATAGAGAAACAAAAATGAGTGTAAGAAATTCAGTGGTGATACGAATAACACTAGAAAATTTCAAATGAAAGTGTTTAAACGAGAAATAAGCGGCTATGGGATATTATTATTATTTGTCCCTTGGGTTCCTAGTGGAACATAGGGATTCAGTAGCGCATCTCCATTTCACTCTCTTCTCTACAATCTTTTCAACCTGACTCCACGACTGCCCAGAAGATCCCATTCCTTCCTCACATAATCTTCTCCATGTCACCCTCACCTCGGACGCCCAATTCGTCGTCACCCATCTGGGTTCCACTTGAGGGCCTGGCCTGGCGCGTGATGTCCCCGGTCTTCTCAGTGTATGTCTTGTCCGATCCACCTCCACTTTCTTCTACTGCATATTTGTTCAGCGATAGGTTCTTGGTTGGTTCGTTGCCAGTCAACCAGAGTGAGTTCCTTGTTGCTGATTCTTATTATTCTCGCCATCCATCTGATCTTCAGTTTCAGTATCGAGTGAGCGTAGGCTGCAGCTGTTGATGAATGCTTGCAGTTCGTTGGAAGTGCTTTTCACAATGCGACACGTCTCTCAACCATCACATAGAAGCACTGACTTGACTGAATTGATGTTGAAAATCCGGATGTTGTTCACGCTTTATGCTGAGTACAGTGCATTGGAGTGGAGTAGATCTCTACACTGGTTCCCGACTAATGAACGCCTGTCTTGCTGTCTTTCCGATCCTGGTTGCTTTGACATCCTCATCTGTGCCACTGTTGCGCGTAGTTGAAACGATGCTGCCCTGCCTAGGTAGGTGAAAGAGACAACTTCCTTTAGATTTCTCCCGTTGATGGTGATTGGTACTTGTTGTTGATTGAGTGTCTTCATCACCTCCACCTCTATCTTCTCTACGTTCACCTGAAGGAAGTCCCGTCCTCACTGCCTCCCCTCGCCTCTTCTGCCAACTTGTTGGTTTGTTGGATGTAGATCTCCGAGTTTGTAGGACAAGACAGACATTACTCATCATCGACGGCGAAATCCAAATCTTCTAGGGTCGTTTCATTTGTCAGGCTAGCGTATCCCCATATTCTGGCTCCTCACAGCCTGTTGCGGGATCCGGTTCAGTCAAGTCGACCGCAATCAGAAAGATCATCGGTGATAGTAGGCAAACCTCTCTCATTCCTGTCTTCACTTCAAAGGCGTCACTGGGCTTTCCATTTTGAATCACTTGGCATGCAACACCCTCGTATAACATATGGCTGTTGAATGAGGTTGATAAAGGTTTGTGACACTAAAACCGTGGTGTCGAGGCAGCTATCAAATTACTTGTGGGTCGACACTATCAAAGCCCTTTGTAAAGTCGATGAAATTGAAGTAAAGAGTTGCCATTCTATGCTCTGTTCTATGATGATGCGTAACGTTGCAATTTGATCCGCATGTGGTATGTTTTTCCTGAAGCCAGCCTGTTACGGTCGTAATTTTCAATCCAGAGCACTTCTTAGTCTCCCCAGGATGGTGCGGCTTAATATTTTGCTTGCTTTGGGTGGACAGTAGCACGATTCCGCCCCAGTCCTTGCAAAGACTAGGGTAACCCTTGTTTGGGAGTTTGACAAGGCAACCCTTCTTCCAATCGATCTGGAGTTACCTTTCCTTCTTTCCAAACCTTCTGCAGTAGTGGCATGAGCACGTACGCTGTTGTCTCTGCGTTTGTTTTCAGTGCTCCTGGTGGAATTCCATCTGGCCCTGCTGCTTTCCTGGACTTCAGCAGCTTTATGGTGTTCAGGACTTCACTCCTGATTTTGTCGGAGGGCTTGTGTCCACTGGTAATTCTGTGGCTGGGCTGCAGGTGGTATTTCTGGTGGTGGTGGTAGTGTTGGTCGATTCTGGAGTTTTTTGAAGTGGTCAGCCCATCGTTTCCTCTGTTTCTCCTCTTTGGTAACTAGGTTTCCTTCACTATCTTTTCTTGGTTTCGTCTGAGTTGATCTCTCCCGGATAGTAACCGGGTTATTTGATGTAATGTTGTCAGACCTCTGTCTCTCCTACTAGTAGCCTGTTTTGGCTTACTTGCCAATGTGTCATAGAAGTGTCTTTTGTCTTTGCGCGCACTCTTCTTCACTTCTTTGTCCAGTGTTTTGTGCGTTGTACACAGTTCCTCTTCTCGTTGTGCATCTTTGCACTGGTTCATCTTCTGCTTCACCATCTTCCTCTCCCTCCTCCGTCAGCTTCCGTGTGTTCGTCGAGATACATTCCATGTCGTGTTTCTTCTTCTTACTTCCTAACACGGCTATGCGGGTTTCCTTCTACGTCTCTTTCAAAGAGTTGCGGTGTTCTTCCGTGCAGGTTTCGCCGGGGATGTTGCTTGATATCTCCCATTTTGTCTTGATGGCTGCCGTGAAGATTTCCTCTGTAGTTTCACTCTTCAGTTTCTGTTCTGGGTGTTGAACTTGAGCTGTGGTCTACCGCCAGCTTGTGTGAGGGCTTTCAACTTGATTTTGAAGGTAGGTTCCTTACACTAGATAGTGAGTGGTGTGAACCTACATCTGCTCCCCCTCTTGATCTTGTGTCCAGTAGACTGCGTCTCCACTTTCTTCACATTGAGATGAAGTCGATCTGATTTAAGTGTGTCGTGGTGTCTGGTGAGATCGAATCCATGTCACTTTGTGAATATCCTTGTGTTTGTACGCACTGCTTCCAACCACCAAATCGTTGAATGCGCAGAAGTCTTCAAACAGTTCTCCATTCTCATTCATTTCAGCGAGTGCCTCTGGACCCATGGTTAGTTCTCTTCCTGTGTTGTCTGCTCCAGGTTTGGCACTCATGTCATCCATTAGAATTTTGATGTCTCCAAATGGAGTCTTATGCATTACTGATTGCAGTTGTCTGTAGAATTCCTCCTTCTTCTCTTCCCTTCATCTGCATTGCTTGTAGGTGCGTAGTGTAGCATTGTATGGTTGTGACTTTCCTTCCTTTTGAGTTGAATCTGGCTGTCATGATCCTGGAGGAGATTGGTTCCCACTTCGCGAGAGAGAACCTTTGATGCTGTTGAGGACACCATGATAGCTACTGCAACAATGAGTGTGTTCGTGGTTGTCATCTGGGTGACAATATTGGAGTAGATTATTGACTCTCAAGTTGACAGTTTGTAGAGTCCACTTGCATTCCATCTACTTTCGCAGATTCCCAGCCTGGCACTTCAGTGTGATACCTTCTCACATCTTTCACAATCTGGGGAGCCTTGCCAGTCGGCTTCAAACGTTGTGCAGACATTCTACGTCCCCATGTTTACATCGGTTTTCATCTAGAGAAGAGAAGACATACCGGCTAATTGGCTTCGCTAAGGCTTTCACCAATCGGTGTGATTTTGTCTCTTCGATTCCAGCGAGGAATAAGTTTGTTTTTATCTGATATATTTTTTTGTGCTTTGGAGTTTGTTTGGTGGTTAGATTGGTTTTCTGGGGTGGGGTTGCTAGCCGTATGCCCAACCTTTCCTGTTTATCCGGGCTTCGGACTGCCTAGTAACTAGTTAACTAGGTGATGTTGTGGGATCCTAGGATGTGCATTATATGCAGTTACATAGGAAAAAACATTCACTTGCATCGGCAAAACTGATTTTCAGTAATTTTTTGTCAAAGTTTTCAACCATTGATTTTGATTGCAGAAGGCGTAAAGTCCGTCATGAATTTGAGGTAGTCTTTATGGGACTTTCTAGATTAATAGCTTATCATACAAACTCTCCCATTCTATTCCGTTGTACAGGACGTTATAACGTGCACAAAACACATCCACTTATTCTTTGCAGATTCATATCGTTATCGACACTTGCTTACTTTTTCTTGCACTATGGCATACTGTCAACATTCTCTAATATGTTTCTAAAAGTTATATCCACTTCAAGGGTACAATTTCAGTAATACTTGTTACCTCTCACCTCCCAAGTTCAAGAGCAATGTGTAACGAGCATACATTAGAGCAGACTTCTAGTAACTAGTAGAACTTTTAGCGTCCACAACTATTGACGTAATTTGGCGAAAACCTGGTAAGTGTTTTATGTTGTTACGTTCCATGATAACTCCACATTTAACAGATGTATTTTGGGCACCAAGAGTATGAGATTAGGAATTAGCACAGTTGCCTAAGATTACACAAATCAACCACTTATTCATTCCATTAGAAATTATTTTACCAATGCTGAATGTATTAGTTTCACTTTTTTAAAAATGGAAATTAACGTTAGTTAGTTTGTCTGAAAAACCTTGCCGGTGTAAATGAGTGGTTGTATGTGGTCCATTTATAGACTATGGAATCATAGTACATATTCAGAAAGCTTGATTGCCATTTCTGAACGTGCTGGCAGGATATGCTGACGTTTTTCGGAGGTTTACCATACAGTTCGAAACTTTATCGGTTTTTGTTTGTGTAACTAAGACATTGTATTTGATAACAAACTACCTAAGGAGGCTTCATGCATTGTACTTCATTTTCGATTTCATCTGGTTGTACTATTGGCTTTAAAAACTATAATCTTCTTATTTGAAATGATCAAAAACCACAGTATATATAGATCACTTTTTGTTCACAAACTACAAAGTCGGGAAAGTTCTTCAGTTCTGGTTAACGTAAATGTTCTAGTAACTGACTCGTTTGACATATTTTCATTCCTACCCTGTAAGAATACGTTATAATTGCACTTCTATTAGAGTTGTATAAATTGGTCTTTTGTTTCTACTTCCGTAAAAATTACTTATATTAGTTGACATGATTTCTTTCCATATTTAATTCATAGTAGGCTCTATCCTTTGCATTAATTTGTCACCATTCCTGATTACTATGGTGATCACCAGTATAGTAGTAAACCTGAAGTAATTTTGACTTTTTAAAGAGAAATAAATTTCCTTTATCTTACAGGACTATTAGTCTGAACCATATAGGGAAACGTAGACTTCGTGGTTGATGTCTGTGGAACAACAGAAACCCGTGGTTGGAGGTGCATAGTCGACGTCCACACATCATCTTAATTGTCGTACCGAATTTGATTATTGTCTAACCTCTCCTTATTCTCTTATCCCAACTTTCTACCGCTTTTGATTGACTCCTTCTTTATTACTCTATCTTTCGTTTTTTGTGCATTCTCACGTGATGTGCTAATACAAAATATGGCACTTTGGGTCGTTAATGTAGTAATCTCAAATGCTATATTGGCATTAACTTAACCATCTTACCGGAACTTACCCATTCTCTTTCCTGAAAAGTTAGTTCGAGCATTCTTAAGTTTTCTTTGAACTAACTGGGCAATAGAAATTAGGTTTCTTTGTTTTGCAAACTTTAATACAGTTATTAAGAAACGATGTTTGATAATACATTGAACTTTTATTGTAATTACACTTATCAAACATATTTCTTTATCATTTTTCAGCTAATATTCATCACTATGTTACTCCAGTTAAAGCTGAAAGAATTATAGTTGAACTTGGAGGATACCTCAATTGGAGGGAAGCTTATCGTATTTTGAGTCGTGTTGTTGATAGCTTACCATTCCGTGGTAGATATGTTTCACAGGATCTTTTAGATACTGAGTCTCAAATTGAAGCTTATATTAAAGCAAAAAATGTAAACCCTTTTTATCCACCAGGTTATGCATTAGCGCACAATTATGCTGGTAGTCGAAGCTTTATCAGTCCCTACCATTTAGATTGGGGCACTTTGAATTATCACTAATTTTTGCTTTTTCAAATACACTTTTCATTTATTGTTTTTCTTTTCATCTGAACATAACTAACTATAACAGTCAAGATATTTTGTCATTATTTACACAGTTTTGTACATAAACCTTCTACCTTTTTAAAACTTTTTCTCACAGTAATTGTGATCTCTACACTAGAAATACAACATAGTAATGGATTTAACTCCCTTTAATCTACACGCGAAATTCCATAAGGCGATTATTTTCATTACATGAACAATACAGAAGCGCGGCGATTGAAAAGTAAATATCAACTAACCTAGACTTATTGATATAGATAACTTTGGCAAACACATCCATTGACCTTCTACCAAAGACGTTAAACCGAGAAGATTAAGTGAGTTAGTGTATGGTAGGCCTAAGTAACTGGGTAATAAACCAACAATTTTATTGGACAGTGCGATATGTATGACGGTCCAATGCTGATCCTTGTCGAGTTGAATCTTCCTAGTACTTTAAATTAGACCAGTCTCATCATCATTTTGAGCCAGTGGTAAGGCATGAATACCAATGCCAAATGCAGCATAACGAGCTGAATTGTATAACTTGAATTCACCCGTAGTAGGGATTTGTTCTTCAGTCACAAAATCTCTTATGAAATGAGCGGAAAATAAATCTGATTGGTGAAATGGGGCTTTGAATTAGTAGAAGTCATCTAAAATATAAACGGTGAAAATTTATTGGTAAAAAAGCTGCAATGACTATTAAGCGCATTATTTAAACAAGATAATGCGACAAAGAAAGTGCCTAAATACCCCCCAGTATTGTGAACGGAAGCATGATTATCTCACCAGGTCATATCTCCATACAGCTCGCGTCCTGGATTACACCGCTATCCAGCGAGTAAGCTATAATATAATGGATATTCAGGCAGAACCAAGGAGTTCGTCTACCGCCAAAGGTCAAGCAATTCGACCCAGTATATCTATGGGAGATTACAAGTATCAAATAATTAATACCCGTTTCTCAAGAGTCATGGCCTAGTGGATTAGCGATGGCTACTGGGTTGGAGTCTCGTTTGGAACAATATTACTCACTGGGGTGCAGGCACATCCAACTGACAAGTCCTAAGTAGGAAGGAACGTGCGTTGTGCATCCCACTGCTAGCCACCAAGCGGACATCAACAAAGCAGTCTCTGCGTTACTGACCATAGTTTGAACATTTTGAGCATATGTTAGTCATCTCAAGTCAATAGTGTTTGTCCTCGTGAAATATTAAATATATTGAGTTCTCTGTATCATCCAATCACTAAGAAGTATCTACAATCATATGACCACGTAGAACCAAGCGACAAAAGAAGTCAATATCCTTGATAGAACTGTAACATTCCCAAGCATCTCATCCTAGACTGTCGTTAGTGATGTTTGCATTTAACAGCATGGAGTTCAGTAGTATTTACATTCGTCTGCTTACTAAGCACCTAAAGGAACTTATTTGGTACATGCATTTTGGTTTCCAGAATACTGATAAAGGAAAGTGGCAGATTCACTTGTATGAAAAGATACACAAAGGATTTGTGTAAAACTATTCATCGACTGATAATTTCAACTGATGGTCTGGCTTACATGTCAATCGTTTCTTGTGCTCTTACCATACCAGAAAAGTCTGTTAGATAGTGATACTAAGAACAAGATATTCAGCGAAGAGACTCTTTTCAACGAATTTATTTTCAAGCTGTACAATCGTATATAAATGGTATTTGGAAAAAATTATATCCTGTGAGGAAAACTAAACACTATATGGTGATGACAATAATAATAGAGCGGGTGATGACATAGGCATTTATACGTCCAAAAACAGTTGCCCCCATAGCGGAAATGGTTTGCGCTATGCTAGCAGTCTGAAGGCGAAGTAATACTGCTGGATGGGTTGCTACAGCAGTAAGGTGTTTCCTACTGATTATCAGCACTTGAAGCTGATACTGCTCTCCCTTATTAGGGAGAGGGGTTAGGAAAGATGGGTCGTGAAGTTTGCACCCTATATTACGGTTTCCCAGTGACAGTGGTAAGTGGTTTCGTAGTACAGACGATGCACAATGGATTCCAAACCAAAATAACAGATATTCCTTGGGCTTTGCGGCCATGCATCACAATTACTTACTTCCTTGAGTACCCACAGCTGTAGTAATATATCATGAAGTGGTCAAGTGAGAAGTGTCAACCACCATCACCACTTAACTTCCTTCAGATCATTTCTAATTTTCTACATTTCTACCTTCTACTCTTTCTTCACTTCTGCCTATCAATATTCCTATGCTATCTTCAACTCCATCCAGCTGTGCAGCTCTCTATAACGATTCATGTTCGGAGAATAGCATCCCTTGTCTGCTGAAACCACACTGCAAGCTACGTGCTGGAGCTCTCAATGTCCGCACTCTCCGTCAAATCGGATGACAACCGTTCCCAGCCAAAACTGGCACTCTCGACCATGAACGTGTGCTGTGTCGATGTGATACGCATACAAAATTCAATTGCAGTTATTCATTGAACCTCATCAGGCCAGTTTGGTGAACCTGTGGACTTCATTCTCCGAGTTTCTGGAAATCCGATGGATAGTTTTAACTGTCTTGCAGGTGTATCATTAAGTGTTAAGGCAAAGGGTCATCGCTCGACTTGACCCCAGTTGACAGACGTCTGTGTGTTGTTTGGCCGAAAATAGCGCTGTGAATGGTGAAGTTCGCCATCATCTCTTTATAATCTCTATTTAAGTATCTACTGACTACATTCCAGAAAACATGAAGGGTGAGTTTTGCCAAAAACTGTCTGGCCCCTCAGTGAAACCCAAACGTACTGGTATGGTTGTCGTACCATGTGATTTCATTACACAACTAAGTAGGCTAAGCCAGGTAGACAGGTAATTTCGGAATCGTAACTGAATGAACGGTGATCGCTTACTACAATTGTGTTCAGATAACCACCAATTTATAATCAACTCAAAGAGAGATGTTGTCCCCTTTAGTACTTAGTACCTCAACATTGAATGCAAATAAGTCGCCTTGATTATTCGACAGCTTCCAACTTAACGGTTATCCAAAATATTTCACCAAACGATGTCTTTCAAAACGAACAAAATTAACAGTAGAATCGTCATGCTGTACATCGAAAATATCTCCCCGACAGCAGCTAGATTGGTGCATCCACTTAGAATTGCAATGTTATATAGACCTACAAAAGCAACCCAGTACGGACACTATTCTCAGAACAAGGTGATGTCATTTTATTTCATAGGATTTTCGTTAGCTTCATACAACCTGAATAAATAAGTAAATAATCATTATAACGAATATTAGCATACTTTATGTGGAACGTTTTAGCATACCAGTTAGTGTCTTGAAGATAGTAAAGTAGGAAGAAGCTTTCACCGTAAAGCCGAGTGAAATAGTTAGTATCCAAGTTTTAACAGTTTCTAAGTGGTATTCATCATGGACTGAGATCAGTTGTAGAACCATTGGAAACCTAGACTCGATTCCTGGTGTGATCATGGGTACACACTGCTGAGAAGTCTCATACTAGGAAGAAGTGCCCCGGGTTTTCACTGGTTCTGTAAACGATGTCAGTCCGTGACGAATACCACCCTGATACTAATAAATCCCTAAAAACCTGCAAACTGAACTAACCATTTATGCCCAGTTAGCTGTAAAAGAGGCTTAGTAAGGAAGCCACATCAGAGTACAGAAAGGTAATGCTTCCAAGAAGAGTTTCAGTAAGTCCAATAATATTTACGCAATAAACGTTATCCAATGAAGTTTATGCGTTAATACTGCGAAAACAAGGAGACGGGTGTAACACTTGGAAAGAAGTCTGTGTTTCTTCGGTTTTCAAAAGAGATGACGCAACAAAAATCAACAGATGAAACAGAAGTGTACTGTCTAGAACCTGTCTGGTTGCGAGACCTATCATACTGTCCCAAATAATGTGTGCAACTACACAATCCAAACTTAACAAACTTCTTACTCTTGGTAACTACAACTATGTTTATACATTCACTCGTAGATGCTGAACCAACTACCTGTGAAGAACAGAGAGGCAGTTGTCTACCAGGATTGGCAAAATCTGCGAAAGCATCCACATCTCAGAGGTTTATCCTTATTCGGTAGTCCGATAGTTCATCAATTCTGTATTGCAGAACAGCAAGTGTGTATGGTGAAATCCTTCACATTAATCGATAGACAAAAAACTCCAAGCTTGTTTTAATATTTGTAACTTCCCGTTGCTGTATAGTCCTGAATTGCTCGACCTCTGTTGTTGGCAGAGGGACGCCTCGATACTCCAGAGTATTCATGACGTAATATTTACGTTGATGGCTAACAGAGGGACTCAGGACACGCGTTTCGTCCCGTTTAGGACTCGTCAGCTGGGCGCATCTTAGCGTGTGATGTTGTTCCCACTGAGGCCGGAACCCAGTATACGTTGCTTCAAACACCAAAGCGTTATCTACTAAGCCATTGGGGCATGTTAGCCACCTTTTGTGCAATGGGTATCAGTTGTTTCTATGATACTTGTATTTCCCCCCGACCGATACCTGCTACCTTGACGTGGTGGTCGGGCTTGCATATCACAATGACCCAACGAGCTATGCTGGTGGAACGCTTGTTCCCTCGAGGTCCTACCATACCAGAAAGGTCTGTTGGGTAGTGGTTAGACGAAAAGCAGTTACCGTCATAGTGTAAATTGCTACACTATGATGGGGGTCTGAGGGCGAAGTCGTACTGCTGCTAGCTGGATGGGGTGTGACAGCAGTAAGGTGTTTCCCTTGGATGACCAGCAGTGCCATGCTGATGCTGCCTTCTCAGTGGAAGGGGGGTTAGAAAAGGTCGGCCCCAAAAATAACACACGCCCCACGGTCTGCCGGGCCGGCGGTGTTGGTTCACTTGTCGTTTCCTTTCGACCATCCGGCCCCAAAAATACAAAATTCAAAATAATCATACTCAAAAGGCTGGGTGTGACAGGCCTCAAGCAGATGTCCGATGGGCTC